ACTGAATACAAAATATATTGGGTTCTGCGTCATATAATTATGAAGACTTGAAAATTAAGTGATGTACAATAATTTTAAATATTTTTACTCTTTTGTATGCTGTTCTTGTTTTGAAAAATAAATTCATTGAATGTTAACTTCTGTTATTAGTCATATTATAAAAATGTATTTTTTACTCATGATATGATTTATTACCATGTTTACCTATACAGATGGCAAGAGTAATGATTAGATTAAGGAAAAATTAAATTTAAGTGAAATGACCAAAACAGAATAAAAATGTAAAGTGTCTTTTTGCAGCCAATTTGTTTTTAATTGGATATTTTCTAGGAATAATATCACTTCAAATATAATTGATCAATTCAGCACTGTAAAAAAGGGAATAAGTAAAGTGGAAATGTATAAACTGCCAATTGTTTTAGAAATGGAACACCTGTTTTTTTCCTGGAGAAAGAACATTAAGATGCCACATGTATTGTCTTATATCTGTAAAGTTTGTCACCTGTTATAACAGATGCTTAAAATAGACAGTTTTATTAGATCTTGCATTTCATTTTTATCTGTCAAGGAAGTTGTATTTATTATTTAAAATGAAAATTAAAAGTGAAAAGGCATAAATGTGCATGAATAAAAATAGTTAATAAGGGGTAATCAGGCAAATTATGGGGTGATTACCAGACAGTTCCAAAATGCTCGTTACTAGATCCATCTCAGCTCCCAACAAGAGACAATAAAATAGGCAAAATCTGCAATGAGTAAACATTTAATTAAACTTACAGAAGACATGAAAATATTCATTTGCACTTTTGCTTGTCCACTCTGGATTAACTAGTGCTGCTATTTATTCATTTAAAAAAAAACACAAGCTTGGGTGTAAATGGCAATGACAATGGCAGAGAAAATACTGATATGAAGTCATTTAAATTCAACAACTGTAATTATGTTTAATGACAGAAACAACACTGTCAAATACTGTAAGAACCTACAATTGTGTTTCTCAAATCTGTGTTTCTTAGTCATAATCTGTTGCCCAAAGGCCCCCAATAAGGCATACGCATGATACTTTGAATAAGGATTTCTTCATCATCATTTATAGGTAACTCCAGATTGTAGTTTTCCGTTAGAAGTGAATGCAGTACCAAAGCCCTGTCAGTGGCAGAAAATTGGCTTGGCTTGGAGAAACAATAAAAGGACCTATTCATGATACAATGCAATAGACAAACAAGTATTGGCTAGAGCTGAGTTGAGTTACTGGAGTCTATTTGTAAGCAACTCATATGAATTGTTAAGGGTGAATTGGATCATTACTTCGGGAATAAATAAATAAAAATGTAAAGAGGAAAAAAGAATCACAAAGAGTGGAAATAAGAGACTGAAGCAAATGAAAGATTCAATAGGGACGGAAAGCAAGTGTATGGTACCTCAAATATACAACAGAGAAACATTGCCAGCAAGGCCTATTTGCCTGGCCTGGGAAGAGAAGTCATGTAACCAGTCATTGATTCTGTACCAGAGACGTATGTCTAAAAATTAGCCTATTAAAATTAGAGCCTTCTGATAAATGCCCTCTAAATATTCTTCTACTCTGCATAGAAGAGTAGTGCTTTCCTTTGTATGAGTGGGCATTTTTTCTGGACAGATTGGATTGGATTACAAAGCCCAAGACTCTGTAACCAGAAATAGTCCAGGAATAAGATGCCTCACTTGTTTAAAAAACTCAGTGGGAATCTTAAACAACAGTTTTAGGAAGATTTGGATCTGCCTGAAAAAGGCTTAAAATACTCAATTGGAACTTCATTATTATATCAGTGAAAAAGTCACCTTAGATAATAATTTCAATCCTTTCAATTCAATCCTACATTATTGCTGTTCAGACACTAATTAGACTAAAAGCCTATCAGAAGTTGAGAATTTTTTTCAGGAAAAGAGAAGAAAAAGACTATTCTAGGAAGATAAGCTAGAGTGAGTGACCTAAATTTAATGTTTTAATTAATTAGGGTGAACTTTTAAAAGACTGATATATGTACTGATAGAAAGCTTTAAGTTGTTTTTTAAGTAATGTTGAATAATATTCCAAAGTTTGTAAAATATTAATGGCTAGATTTGAAAATATGAGAATGAATGATATGTTATCCCCCACAGTAAAGAGACACAGAGATGGTTAAACTGATCATTTTATCCAAAGAAGAGAATATATTTAATTTTGTCTCTATTTTGAAATTGCTTCTGGATTTTGTCCTTACAATGGAGAAAAATGATTTTTTTTTGTTTTTGTAAGCTAGATGGCTTATTGTTATAGAAATGGCTTGTACATACTGTTGTATAAAAAGCAAAAAGTTGTGGTTGTAATGTTACCTTCTAAAGAGAGTCAGAAGTCAGTGCCTTTTTCTTTGTTTTCTCCCATTAAACTCCCTCCCTCTCTTCTTACTTTTTCATGCTTTTTTTTCCTTTGTATTTTATACTTTGACAAATAAAAAGTTAAATGGAAAAAAGACATTAAAAGCCTATCAGATATTAAAATTGAAATATTATTTCCCTTAGTTGCCTGAATTTCCCCCAGATCACAAATGTAAGTGCAGCAGAAACCTGCCCCCCCCCCAAAAAAAACCATGGTTATAAATCAAAGCTAATCATAGAAATAAAATCTGCATATTAACCTGAATGGAAAATATACAGAAATAAGAATTCCGTATTGATGTAATACAGACATGTCAGCTATTGTTTTATTTTCTTTTTAAATGTATTTTCTGATATGACAATCACTTGTAAAAATATCTTCATCTGGGCAGTCCTTTACCCTGTATCTGGAAAGAAAACAACTATTAAGGTAACAATTTTGAGTTCCTGAAAGATGGAAGTTATGTTAAACCTTTCAAGCATGTGCTTGGGATGTGTAAAAAGTACAAATTAAAATCTTTATTTTTTTAACACCTTTATGAAAGAGAGTCAGCGCAATTTGGCTACAGAAAAACAAAAATATCTGTAGTTCTATTGCCATAAATGGAGCTCTGAGATATGTTTATCTGAAATGATAAAAGATACCCTTTTGTATTCATTAGGATTTATTTCTAAATAAACACTCAACTGTTTATCTGAATACTAATTTGGATACAATTTTAATTAACGTGACTTGCTGATTGCCAATTTTAGTCCAGCAAATGATCATGTCTTCATTTGTTATAGAATTAATAAATGGAAGTAGAGGCTATTGTGCTTTCTAAAACTCTCCCATCATTAATTATTTCTTCATGGTTAGGAAAAGTAGAAGGAAAACATCTCCCTCTGGCATTAGTTGGAGACACTTTTTGTAACTTTCCTGTTTACAAAATAAGTAGGTTTTATGGGATGATGGGTAGACCTAGACAAAGAAAATTCTCTCTCCTTGCATAATGTGATCACCTACCTATTTCTCTAACCCCACTGCACAGTTATGCTTCTGATTAAAGTAATCGTTAACTAAAATTGTAGCTACCTTATACAATTAGCAGTTATGTATCCTTCATTGTTCAGTCTTTCCAAAGTATAAGGCAAGTGAAGATAGAAGAATCCTGCCTTCTCAGAGTCTATATATGTTGGAATCAAGGCAAAATCAGCGATAAAATTTTAAAAAGTATTTCCATACTGTTTGTACAGTATTATTGTATTTCAAAACATTGTTTTAAAGAAAGGATCATAATATGATGCCTGTGTAAATTAATTTAGTTTGATCAACAAGACCTCCATTTGCCCCATTTGCTGAATGGGTAATCATGACCACCTTTAGTTTATCCCTGCCTGGTTAAGATACCATTTCAATAGCAGACAGAACTCTTATCAATTCTTCACCATGTATTGGTAATGGAGCTTCCACTGAACCACTGGGAAAGATGCCTGAATTCTGTTATTTCCATACAACAGAAAACCTGCTGCTCCAGCTAGAATTAAAAGTAGGGGTTATATTTTATACACCTGGATCTGTATTATTACATTTCTTGTATGTGAATGCAAAGCATTTGAAAAATAATTGGAAGAATCGTTTTCACTCGGGTAGCTTTAGTATGCTACTTTAAATGTCTGTTCTTCAAATTGCTGCTTTATGGAGTTGCAATTTAGTTGAGAATATTTACAACAGCACTAGAGCTAGGATACACTGAAAGAGCCATATTATATTTTACATATCCTGTAATTCTCAGTAGCCCTAATTGCTGTTATAGGTGTTCTTTTAAAATATGGGCTGCTTCATGATTTCCTTTGAAGTGGCTGTAGAATTTTAAAAAGCATACTTTAAAAAGAGGAAAATAAACCTAAAATCCTTGTGACTTTGATGTAGCTAAAATAGGTTCAACTTTAAGGAATATTTTCTACAGATAAAATCTCTCTTGATTTTCTTTTTTCTTGGATTCTGAATGCAAAGGGAAAAAAGTATCAATTTATTTATTCATTACCCTATCTCTTTGACTTTTCTTTCAAGGAATTTAGAACAAGGTAAGTAGCTTCCAGACAGTTTTCCCATTAAGGATACTATCCAGACTACAGGTGGTATTCAACCGGTTTGCACTGGTTCGGGTGAACTGGTAGCGGTGATTTTTTTGTGGGTCGCCAAACTGGTGGTGACCCCTGGCTGGCCCCGCCCCTGACTCGGTCGCTTGGTTGCTCACTTGCCCTGGTCACTCTCCTAGCTTTTCCTACCATGTGGCAGCCATGGCACCACTCGGGTGGATATCCCGCAGCTGCTGCACATGCGCACTGTGTGTACAGCCACTACACATGCAGTGCACATGTGCAGTGGCTCCAGGACATCTGCCCGCCTGCCTGCCCTCCTGGAGCAAGCTTTCTTCCTTCTCCCAGTGGACGCACCTCTTCCAGCCCACCCAGTCCGGCCAGCCAGCAGGTGGCCACATGTCCAACTGCCCCTTTTTCAGCACAAGAAGTCTCCCCCAACTGGCTGGCTGCTCTCCTCCTTCTCTGCCTGTTTGTTCTGTATGATCGAGGAAGAGTAGAGGAGCCGGCCTGTTGGGGGACATTTATATGAAACCGCTGGGTGAGATAATCCGTCACCATGGACTGAGGTATCACCAATATGTTGACGGTACTCAGCTGTGTGTCTTGGCCCATGGTGAGTTAAATGTTGCTGTGTCCTCCCTCTCACAGTACCTGGAGGCTGTTAGGGGCTGGATGGGGAGCAATGGGTTGAAACTAAACCCTTGCAGAACTGAATGGCTCTGGGTCTGGGATTCATTGGTTCAGGGAGAATTACCACCTTTAGTCTTGGATGGGGTGGCACTACCCCAAACAGATCCTGTGCATAATCTAGGGGTTTTCCTGGACTCACAACTCCTGTTCGAAGAGCAGGTGGCAGTCATGGCCAGGAGGGCCTTTGCGCAACTACAGGTTGTGCACCAGTTATGCCCTTTCCTGGATCAGCAGTCCCTACTTACAGTCACTCATGCCCTGGTCATTTCCCGTCTTGATTATTGCAATGCGCTCTACATGGGCCTGCCCTTGAAGAGCATCTGGAAGCTCCAGTTGGTGCAAAATGCAGCGGCCCACATGGTTTTATGCAGATCCCAGTGTGCACATGTATCCCCTCTCCTGCAGGAGGTGCATTGGTTGCCAATTTGCTTCCGGGTGCAATTCAAGGTGCTGGTTGTCGCCTTTGAAGCTCTTCATGGTTTGGGTCCGGGTTATCTGAGGAAACATCTCTTGCCAGTTACATCTACCCAACCCATTAGACGAGGAGGCAGGGAATGCTGCGGGTCCCACTCCTGAGGAGATACACCTGGTGGGACCTAGAAGAAGGGCTTTCTCTATGGTGGCTCCATCTCTCTGGAACATCATTCTCCCAGAGATTAGAATGGCCCCCTCATTAATACTATTCTGAAAGGCACTGAAGACCTGGTTTTGCCAGTGGGCCTGTGGAACCCAGAGGGGGATGGAACCCATCAAATGGCTAATGTGATCCGCTGTCGTCGGGGTAGGGGGTGGGAGTTGGTTTTTGTTTTTTGTTTTGTTTTGTTTTTTGTTTTCCCAATTTTGTTCTATTGTACTTTACTAATTTATTTGATTCTTTTTGTTAGTTCTTATTGTTTTTATTTTTATTTTTTGTTTTAAATATGATTTTACATTGTGTAAGCCACCTCGAGTCGCCATGGGCAAATAGGCGGCAATATAAATCAAATAAATAAATAAATAAATTCTAATATTCAAAAATGAGGGAATATTTTGAATAGGTATAAGAAATCAATTAAGACTGAGGAATGAATTTTTTATTTTGAAAAACATTCATAGGTGTAAGTAAAAGAAAGGTTTGTTCTTAGAACAGTATCAGTATATGATACAATGCAATTGACAAATCCTGGTGATAAATTATATGGTTAACCATTAATGGATTCTTCTCTACAACTATTTTTGGGCATTAAGTGTACTATTAGTTAAAATGTGACTCATTAATTAGCCATTTTAAAAAATCCTGCACTGACTTGTATGTTCGGAAAGTAAAGTTCAATCAAGGTAGGATAGTCTTCAATCTCATTGATATATATTAGTATCATAGGCCTTTGCAGGATGGGGGAGAAAGTAACACAATTGGTATTTATATTGTCTTCCCACAAAAGTCATCAATGACATATATAACTGACACAAATGACACAATCTGTAACATTTTTTGCAGTGACATCATGAGTCCTATTCATCATTGTGACTTCTAATAGATCCAGGGTATCAAACTCAATTTCATTGAGGGCCACATCAGGATTGTGTTTGACCTCGGGGGGGCATGGGGGTGTGGCCAGCTGAACATCACTTGTGTCAGAGGTGCCTGTGGTGGCCCAAGTGCTCTGCTAGCAAAAATATTTTCATTGGCAGAGGCACTGCGGGCCGCGCCAGTCCTTTGCTCTTTCCAGGGCAGCCCCACAGACCAGATCTAAGCACCCTGAGGACCATATCTGGCCCATGGGCCTTGAGTTTGATACCCCTGGAATAGATACTGCAAAGAATCCACTTCCATGCACTCCATACAGAACTCAAAAGACGTCTAGACAATGGAGAGAAGGACCCGTACATTGACTACCGTGCTGCTTGTATCAAAAGTAAGTCACACAACCCACAACTCCACATCCAACCTTACCTCATCCAACCCACCATCACTCAAAACTAGGCACGCACACCCCTAAACTACCTCAATTCCAACTACAACTGGCCTTAAATGCAAACTACTCTATGCAAGAAGCCTTGTAAATACCTGAATTTCTCCTCTGACTAAGTACGGCTAAATTTGACATCATACTTGTCTGTGAAACATGGCTCAATGCATCTCTCCCTGACTCCATTACCACAGTAAGAGACTATCATGTTTACCAATACGATCACGAAATCCATAGAGGAGGTAGTATGGCTATCTTCTATAAAAAGTCCCTACATCTAAAAAACATCCAAGTAACCCAAGAGCTTGCTCTTCCTGAGACCATTATCTGTGAACTGTCCTTAAATATCACATTTCAATTCTTATTATGTTACAGAGCCCCTGATTATGACATCAAACATGTAAACAAGTTAAATTCACTCCTAACATGGGCAACATCATGCCACCTGCTTTTGTCTTTCTTGGTGACTTCAATCTACCTCATATTAACTGGACCCTAAAACTGAACCCATACATGCCACCTTCTACAATGCTGTAACAAATCTGGGACTGGAACAACTAGTAACCAACAATACTAGACTTAACAACTGCCTCGATCTCATCTTCTGCAATAGTTTGAATTCAATTTATGGAATACAAACTAAAGAACCCTTTTCCAACAGTGACCACAACATTATTGACTTTTGTCTCAACATATATCCACACAAAAATCATCACAACAACAGAATCCCCAATTATAACTTCAAAAAAGGCAACTATGATCTTATAGACAATGATCTCTCATCTCTTGATTGGCAATTTCTATTCACTGGATGCAATAATGTTGAAGACCATTACAACATATTTTTACTTGAAGTCAAAAGAGTCATAAAACTATATGTACCAACAACAACTCCCAAAACCAGAAAAAACAAATTACCCATAACAATAAGGAAGCTTCAGTCCAAAAAGAAATCACTTTGGTGGAAAAACAAATCTGGTCACGTTGTCAAGTTCAAAAGCCAATACAAAAATTTATGCCACCAGATAAAGACTGAATGCACCAATTATCACATTAAACAAGAGGAAAACTTTCTATGCACCAGTTCTACCCGTGCTTTCTACAATTTTATAAACAAAAAACTAAAAGACTCAAGGTCCATCCCACTCCTGAAAGGGCCTAATGGTAAAGACTGCAACGATTAAAGCCAACCTCTTTAACACATTCTTTGGCTCAGTATTTGTAAACAGCAATGGATCATGCCCAGTATTTCCTAGTCAAATCACAGACAACTACAGTGATCTAATACATGTCAGTTTCACAGAAGACTATATTGAAAAAGCACTACACAATCTAAAACCATCTCTATCTATTGGACCAGACGGAATATGTGCCTACTTCTTAAAAAAGCTACCCACTGCCATACCTGAACCTCTAAGCATAATCTTTGAAAAATCTTTCAAGACCAGCTCCTTGCCAAAACTATGGTCACTAGCCACGGTCATTCCCATCTTCAAAAAGGGAGACCCCAGCCTAGTTGAAAATTATAGACCAATCTCTTTATGCTGCGTCACTTGTAAAGTCATGGAATCAATTATTAACCAAGCCATTATCCTCCACTTAGAGTCAAACAACCTACTGTCTAATAAACAATTTGGTTTCAGGAAAAAACTATCCTGAAATTTGCAACTCTTACACTGCAAAAACATATGGACTACACAACTCAATCAGGGCAAAGCAATAGACACAATCTACATAGACTTCTGTAAAGCTTTTGATTCAGTGATACATGACAAACTACTCCTAAAACTAAAATCTTATGATATCTCTGGACACCTACATAACTGGATAGAAGCATTCCTGTCAAACAGATGACAAATGGTCAAAATTGGAAGCGTCCTATCAAATCCTGTACCTGTCAACAGTGATGTCCCCAAGGCAGTGTTCTAGGACCAACTCTTTTTATACTCTACATAAATGACCTCTTTGATCATATTAAGAGCAACTGCATTCTCTTTGCTGCTGATGTAAAGCTATTCAACACCACTGACAATACTGCTACCCTTCAAAAAGACCCCAACTATGTATCAGAATGGCCAAAAAAATGGCAACTTCAAATCTCAACAAATAAATGCTCTGTCCTACATATTGGCAAAAAAAATCAGAAAATAAAATACAAGCTGAATAGTCAAGACCTTGATGATGATCCAAACTCTGACAAGGACCTTAGAGTACTCATCTCTAATGATTTAAGTGCTAGAGCCCACTGCAACTATATAGCCAAAAAGGCATTAAGAATTGTTAACCTAATCCTACATAGCTTTTTCTCTGGTAATATCACACTACTAACTAGAGCATACAAAACATTTGCTAGCCCAATACTTGAATACAGCTCATCAGTCTGGAACCCACATTATGTATCTGATATTAATACAGTTGAGAAAGTCCAGAAATATTTCACAAGAAGAGTTCTCCACTACTCTACCAGTTGCAGAATATTTTATACCACCAGACTTGAAATTCTAGACCCAGAAAACCTAAAGCTACGACGCCTTTGGTCCGATCTAAGTATAGTACATAAAATTATACATTGCAATGTCCTAACCTATCAATGAATACTTCAGCTTCAACCATAACAATACAAAGCACACAATAGATACAAACTCAAGGTAAACCGCATCAAACTTGATTGCAGGAAATACGACTTCAGCAACAGAGTGGTCAATGTCTGGAATACTCTACCTTACTCTGTGGTTTCTTCCCCAAACCCCACAAACTTTAACCTTAGACTGTCTACTATTGACCCCACCCCTTTCCTAAGAGGTCTGTAGGGAGCGTGCATAAGTACGCCAACGTGCCTACCTTCCCTGTCCTATTGTTTCTTTTCATTTTCTTATATCTATCCATTTCATGTATCTTTATACTTATACCTGTTATCTTATATTGCTTGACAAAATAAATAAAATAAAAAGATAGCTATGATGTATATCCAGTGGTGAGATTATGAGTAACTCAGGCCATGTATGCTAGAGTCTATTTCTGAATCATGATTGACTTCAGATATTGAGTAATGCAAAAGCAAGATGGCAAAAAATAACTTTGAAAACAATTTCAATGATTTTTTTTTTGTTTATTTACATCAAGAGTTTCTCCTATTTGGCCAAGAGACAGAAATAAAATTGTTCTTGGTTCTAGTGTACAATGGGAGTACACAGAACAGGGTTGAAAATAAGATAAATATTTATCAGAGATGACTATAAAATTATCCGTCATGGCAAGCCAAGTAACTCATTTCAGACTGAAAAGCAGACTACAAATTAACAAGTAAAATGAATATAAGCCAGATCTGATCTGATATTCCTCCTTTCAATCAATGTGGTCTTTTGAAAATGTTTTTAAGAAATACATATTTCTTATATAAATTTATATAAATAAATAATTTTAAAAACACAGTCTTGTCCTGGCTTCTAGGAAGATTTTATTGTACATGGCAGAGCTAGATCGCTAACTTTTGAGCCAAAATGCTTCTGCCACATCCTTTCTTTTAAAAGTGGCATGATGAATATTTTGAGTCTGTGAGTTTTATGAGTTCATGCACTTAAAGAAAACAGCAAGAATGTTCTTTAACAGACACTACATAACATTATATCATGAAGAAACTGATTACGAAAAATCTACCAGTTTTATTTTGCCTTTTTTAAAGGGAAATATAATCTTTGCAATTAACATTGAATAAACAATGCCATATTTGTATGTCTATTAAGGTTAGATAAAATTTTCATATACTGCTCAGTCATTCCAAATTTGTTGAGAAAAGATATATGTAATTGCTTTTGCTATTAAGTTCAGTATCAGACACCAATCCAATGATCGAGAAGCATAATAACAGGTAAACTTTCATCTGTCTGTTTCTCTCTCTCCCCCCACCTTCCTCCAATTAAGTTAACTCATGTGTCTTTTTCTTTCAAATTTTATGCCACAAGATGACACTTGAAAGAATCTAAGACATGATAGTAGATGCTAGAGCTAGAAATGGATTTCATCTGCACCAGTAATTGTAATGCCGAGGCATTCCCAAGGCATACTTTAGCAGACCGACCTTGTTGGTTATTAAATTCAGGCATTCAGGAAAGTCCCAGAAATTAAAACTGTAATTAATATAGTTTTTTAAAGAAATTGGATCTTTGCATGGGTTCATTTTGTGCACCAATTGCATCCATTTCTGGAATTGGAGGCCCTAGTCACTCATGCTTTAGTCACCTCTATCAAAATGAAGTAATATAACTGAATATGGGCATTTGGAGGTTGCAAATGACACAGAGTCTAGTAATACTCTGAGTCCTTGTATGAAAAAATACCAATGCCACAAGAATGAAAGAATTCTGCAGAGTCCAACCTAAAGATCAGTTTTATTATTTATTTATATAGCATCAACTTTTTGTCTCTAAGTTAATAACACAGAAAAGCAGTACAGTACTAGCCACCTCAGTCATCCTAACCAACCCACCAGTTCCTCCATTCCCAAACTTTCTTTTAAATAGCCAAATTTTTAATAACTTTCTAAAACTCAGGAATGAAGAAAATGATCGCTTCTGTGTCCCCTCTTGCTGCACTTCATGGAAAAGCAGAGACAATCTTCTTAGGCAGTCAAATTTGATGTGGAATAAGCAGTTTCATAGGACTGCCACTACATCTCTCATTACCATATCCAAAATGAATGTTGCCATCAAAAATAGGTTCCAGTCATTCTGTCATGCTTTAGCTCTGATAATGATTGTTACACTTTATGAGATTCAGGTAACCTGCATCTGTTCCTCAATATGAGAAAGCTTCATAGTTTATTCAGTCTCTTGATTAGTTAAACTAAAATCTTATTATTGTTTGTATTTGACCCATTCAATAGGTCAGTTGTAAAAAGCAAGTATATTAGAGTTCATTAATATTTTTATAAACATGATTTTTTTAAAAAGGGGATAATTTTTTACTTTTTATGATCCCGTAATATTATAAAGGAAAAAAGTACTGTTTTATTTTTTTCTAGAATTATAATTTTTTGAAATGGATGCATATCATCTTAGCAAAAGACTGCCTATATGGATTATATGCATTTGCAATATTCAGTGAAAATGAGACACTTTAAATGCAACGTTTTTGTTATATTTAAAGCTTGCCAGTAGGGATATTCATATTACACTCTGGATTTTTACAGCTGGTTTTCTTTCTTGCTATGAGATTAAATTGCTCTAGTCTCTCTTTGCTTATTTTGGAATGTGAAAGCATTTCAGAAACTTGCTGAGGAATATTTTTTACTTAATTCTACAAAGGATATTGTTGGGAACAAAGAGGACCCATGACTATCCATTCCTACTGTAATTTTTAAATGAATTGTGTAGAAATCCCGTTCTTGCATATAAAATCAACTTCATTCAATTCAGCCCACTAATTAACATTTTATTTAATTTTTCAGACTAAGTTAATATATTTGTGGAACAAAAAAATTGCAGAGTCTGTTCATATGCCTTGTGGCATGACAAGCCCAGCAGGGCTGAAATCAAGCTGACCTGAAAACTGATGATGCATTTTCAAGGTTATTGTATGAGTGTTCCAACACATAACAGCAATTGCTTTGAATGATTCCTCAAAAGAAATGGAAGAGAAAATGAAGCTTGGGTCACTGATCCAAGAAAAAGTCTTGTCCAAGCCAAATAGAAAGAATGGCTCTATATCAAGCAGGAGACCATAATTGTCTTAGAAGTAAACTAGGGCATGTAGCCAAGATTTGAAATGTATTGTATATTTTATAAAATATATTGTATTTTAATTGTATTGCAATAGTACAACAGAATTGTATTATTTAGATATTTGTTAAGTATATATGCCATTTGCTTAGAACCTGAAAATGGCCTATATTGTATCCAGAATGTTACAAATGGTCACTTAATAATACCAGTGGTCCACAGTTAACAATCATTACTTCAGTGACCATTCAAACCTCTGACAAATTAATAAGCAGTATGTATGAGCAGTCCTAAAAGTTCCAGGAATCACAGTGCCCCCACAATCACATGATCTCAAAGTTGGACACTCGGCAACCAGCCAAAATTTCTGATCATTGCATCTTCCCATTGTCACATGATCGCAATTTTCAACCTTCCCTGCTGGCTTCCCACAAAGTCAATGAAGAAGCTAGAAGGAAGACAGAAGTCACAGTTAAGTGAGATCCTCATTAAATGACCTGTGTTAATTTGCTTAACAACTGTAAACTGGAGATTGCTGGTACGGCTGTCACTAAGTGACACAGTCAGGTGACCTTCTGATTTATGACTCTATTGCTTAGCAACATTGTGCAACAAAAACTACCTGTATCTGGAGAGCAACTTGTTCTTCATTTCTACCTTACAGGTTGACTGGAAAGGTACTGAACCTAGTACTTGGTTTTAGGTTCAGATTTCTGTTTGGAACTCATTCTGGTACTTAAAACAGTCATAGTTTAACATTCAAGAGTTTGGTGTAAGATGGGTGGCTAATGCTATCTTATCCTTGTGCCTGCATTTAGTGAGGGTCTGAATTGAAAATAACAAGCTTCAACTGAACTCTGGCAAGACTTTGTGGGTCTCGGTTTTGGGATCTGCTGATTCTGGGACTATGCCATCTTTGGTCCTAGATGGGTTTGCACTTTGGTACCTAATGTGTGCAACTTGAAGGTCTTCCTGGACTCCTGCTCAAAGGACAGATGGTAGTTGTGGCTAGGAGGGCCCATGCATAGCTTCATGTTTTGTGCCAGAAAACAAAAAACATGAAGCTATGCATGTTCCTGAATTTGGGAGCTCTGCTCATGGTCATTAATATACTGCTATCTCCCGGGTAGACTTCTGTAATGAGCTCTACATGGGCCTGCCCTTGAAGAGTATCTGGAAGCTTCAGCTAGTACAGAATGCAGCAGCTTGGGCAATTATGTGTACCCCTAGAGCCCATTACATCTCTGCTCTATGAGCTGCATTGGTTGCCAGTTTGATTCTGGATTCAAGGTGTTGAAGGTGACCTTTAAAGCCCTTCATGGCATGCGGGTGGATTATTTGAAGGGTCACTTTTTCCTAATTACATCTGCTATCAGATCTGGCAGTAGGTGTATGCTGCAGGTCCCTCTGTTAAGGAGTTACACCTGATGGGATCCAGGAGATGAGCCTTTTCTGCTATGGCAACTCCCTTCCTCTGTGGAACATCATTCCACTGAGGGGACATTGGCTCCATCTCCCCAGATCTTCTGGAAATCCCCTAAAACCTGGTTGTGTCCACAGGCCTGGATATCACAAGGGAATGGTAATTTGATTAGGTGGCTCCATTGATGATATGATGCTGTCTCTTAGCTTTTTATAAAAAGATTAATTTTTTGTGCAGTTTGAATATTTTTAAAATTATTTTATGATTGTTTGTATGCCACCTAGAGTCATGCTCTATGAGATGGGTGGCCGTACAAATATGATCAATAAATATATAATAAGTATATATATAAGTCTGCCATTTAAAAAAATTAGTACAAATATTCACATACGTTTTGTAATGTGCTTTTCTTAATATATACTTTTCTTACACAGGAAAGCATTTTTTAAAACTAAAATATGCATTGTTCTATATACTTTTTCCAAATGTATACATTTTTGTACATGTTTTTATTGGAGAATAGCAACTCACATTTCAGAAACATAAATATTTAGAGTACAATTGAATTTCCGTTCCTGTATTTAGTAAATTTGCATAAAAATGTGAATCAGAAGAATATTTTCCAACTCCTACTTCAAAGTGCTTTGTCTATATGAATCTTTGTATCAAAAACAAGCTTAAAGAGGAGATGTTTGGGAGATAAATACAGGAAGCTATTTGTGCTTGTTAAATATTTTTCATTCTGTTGAATGAAAGTAGCTGTATTATCGTTATTTGTTTTAAAGATGAAATAATACTGAAACTAAACATTCAGTGCTATAAGTATTACTCCATATCAAATTTAGATAAAATAATGAAATACCAAATTGCATGCCTGTATAAACAAATTGTGGCCCAATGTTTGAATAAATATTTCTTTGAAATAAGTCCAGGCTTTTAAGGTTTCTAGGAGGATCAAATAATTGACTTTCAGAAAAGGAATAGTAAAACTATGCTTATTCAACTTTATTCAAGTTTGTAGCTATCTGTGGTCTCAAACTCACATCAAAATGAATCTTGCATAAGGATAAGCTCACTAGATGGAAAGTTGCAAGACTGAAGTACCCCCACGCAGATGCACAAACATAACTGTCAGTAAAGTCTCCAGTGTCATAAATTTAAACAGTTGTTCTGCTTTCAGTGGTCCCCTGTGCAGGACCAGATACAAGATACCTCTGAACCATTCATGGAAACATCTGCTCATTCAAGGTTGCAGTAAGAAAGAACCATGAGGGGGAACAGAAAGAGCCATCCCAGTCTCAGACATGATAGAGGACAAGCCAGGAGCATTGCAGCTTCATGAGTTACCTTGCCTTGACTCAGAGCTACACCCTCCACCCAGTACCTGACTGTGATTGGCAAGCTATCAGTCCACACACCCCAAAAGCTGCCTTCCCACTATATAACTGAGCAAAATGTCCTTTGGCCTACTCCCCAGCATTGTTGTGGGCTGCTAAAAATGACCTGTGTGCAGGACATTTGTGCAGCCCACAAAACACATTTGAGGATCCTGATCTAAAGCATTAATGTAAACATGAAATGCTTTCAAACACCCAAAAATATGAAACATGGGTTGTTTTCTTCAGTGATGAGATTGGTGAAACTCAAATGGCAGCTGTGCAAGAAAGTAAAGCATTTGACTCCAGAGGCAGTTGCACTTAAGTGCTGACTATAATCAAGAAGTATTAGGTTTGTTCTAGGCAGCAGAATATCTTGACCCAGAGATGTTCAGCCGGTCTGCAAAATTGTCCGTGACTCAGCCTAATGATTTCTGAGATAAAAGGAAGACATGATAAAATGTAGGTACACTGGTAATTGAAGCAGTGTGCTTCATGGTTTTATATTGAAGATTAAACAGTTGTAACTACAGAGCAATTTGTTGGGGCTTATTATGGAAAGTTACTGATGCATACAGAAGCTGGCGCTTCTTTTTCATAGATTAGTTTTTTCCTGACCTGGCAATCTTAAATGCATTGTGATGACAACTCCCTGAATTCCCATCCAACATATCCACTAGCTAAGAAATCTGGGAGTTGCTGTATTTCTGTGAAACTGTGAAAGGCTGCCATATATATTAGATAAGATTTTTTTTGTCTCTGTGAAAACTAAAGAAAAGAATGGTGATAGTGTCTGGTGATAGTGTAGTGCTGCCTTATTATTATTATTGTTATTGTTGTTGTTGTTGTTGTTTTTGTTGTTGTTGCATTTATTCAACTCTGACTTGAATACCTGAAATGAAATGAAATCATTTTAAAACATTGCTTAAGTCTAGGATTCTAACATGGTATCTAAGCCTCACTCTATAACTGGATAGTCCCTTGTTGCTCAGCAAGCCCTGTGCCCATTCTTTATGTATTTGAGTGAATTATTTCTATTTTAAACAAAATTTAAAAGGAAGTTGCTTCTTGAAAAGCAAACTATCACTCTTGAGATGGATATGCATTTTTATTTCTAAGATATATCTTTGGCATTTGTTTGATTTGGTATTCATACAAATCAGTCATCAATAGTCACATAGAAATAAGCTACATTTACTCACTATATAGCTGTGGTGGCACAGTGGTTAGAATTCAGTGCTACAGGCTACTTCTGCTGACTGCCGGGCTACAGCAGTTCAGCAGTTCAAATCTCATTAGCTCAAGGTTGACTTGGCCTTCCATCCTTCCATGGTCAGTGAACTGAGGTCCAGATTGTTGGGGGCAATATGCTGACTGTAAACCACTTAGGGCTATAAAGCACTGTTAACTGGTATGTAAGCCTAAGTACTATTGCTATTTAAAAGAGACAATAAAAAAGCTACAAAGAAAATAAAAAATACCAGATCATATCCTCCCTAGCAACTTGCACCAGATAAGTAGGGATTAAAGAAACAAACAAACATTGAAAACAATACCCTAATCAAGGAACTACCAAAAACAAAACCACCCTCCCATCAATATTGATGTGAGGAACAAAGAATCAGGAGCATTTATAAGGTTGCAGCTTAGAATATTATTATTAAGGTTGCAGCTTAGAATATTTATCCAAGAATCTGGTCAACTAAAATTCAACACTAAATTAGTGCCAGATCTGAGTCAGCGGAATTCAGGAGGGGTTGGAGTGCTAATGCAAACACAACAACTCTAAGCTAATGATTTACTTACCTCCACCCTCCAGCTCTGCCTGCTCTTCTACAACTGACAGCACAAGCTACAGTAAATTAACAGGGGGAAAACCCACTCACCCATTAGCACTGATGATGTCACCCGCACAGGTAATGAAACGTCTGCAAGCAAACAACCAAGCTCAGAGAATACCAACGACTCCACAAAATGTAACTTTATTTCTAAGAATTTTATTCAAATACATAAATTACCTTAAAAAAGAAAAACGATGAAAGGTGCTTCTTTTGAAAACATGCTTACCTGCCTATGAAAAAATAAAGTTCACTTAGAGTTGAAAATATGCTAGAGACTAAATCCATGGTAGGGGACAATTTAACTAGTTGGCCTTTGAATACATTGACTTTGTGTAATTTGCCACACCCATCATTGCTAGGAATTTTTTTGAGTCAGCAAATTATTCTCATAAAATGTCAGATGTATTCTTCAATACAAAAAGTCTAGGTATGCATTTCTACTTGGTGTTCAGAAGACAGATAATAGTTGTTATTTCAGGTGGAGAAGTAAAAGGCTAGATCAGGGGTTCCCAAACTTGGCAACTTTAAGACTTGTGGACTTCAACTCCCAGAAGTCTACAAGTCTTAAAAGTTGCCAAATTTGGTAACCTCTGGGCTAGATAGTGATATTATTCAGAAGACATTGGTTTGTTGTTCTTTGAGGATTTTCTAAGCAATAAAAGGGAAAAATAGTTTGAAAAACATTGCTTTATGTGATTGGAAACTTTAACATATTTCTTTTGTTTAAAGGTACTCTTGAATTCAAATTGGCAATACTTGCTTTCACTTATTTTGCTTTTGTTTTCTAGTAAAGGTGGCTGAATAGATTTTTTTTATCTGGCTGTTTTTTTAAAAATATGCTAAAAATAGCATATTGTTTTTTAAAAAAATATGTCAGATCTCTTTTACAGCTAAGCATGAGAGAAATGAATAGAATTCATGCTTTAAATATTAATACAGTGATTTTTCTAATCCTGAAAAATTCTCAAAGCAGCTTCTATTGTATATTGTTGAGGTGTTCCCCATTAGGAGAATAAGTGCACTCAGGGAAACATAGTGAGTGTGGTGTTGAATAACACACAACCAGCATATAGATACACTGAATAGTAAAATGTAGGTTTTACTTCCAGTAAACCATTAAACAAAGTCCAACAAACAGTCCAAATCATACACGGTTAAAGCAGGTAGTATTCAATACAATCAGTCCAGGGATAATTCAGAAACGAAGTCCAGTATCATAAACAAAGTTCAGTAAGCGGAGTTTGCTAACAGTTGCAAGACTCACAGCAATCCAAGCAGAACAATGTTCAGGCAAAAAGTAAAAGGGAAATCCAAAAAGAGAACAAACCAGGCTTTTGGCTCCATCTTATGGCCATTGGAGGAACCTCAGCCAATCACAATTACAGCATTCTCTTAAAGATACAACAGTATTAAATGACTATCCTGGTTTATATATTGCCAACCCAACTGTTAGGTAACTATCATTCCTAACATATATTCTTACATAGTCTCCATCATTTCTGTTTCCTATTATTTACTATTGACATTTTTATGACAATCTATTTTATATTTATATGTGTGTGTGTGTGTGTGTAATATATATATATATATATATATTTGTTTTCTGAGGTTCTC